AATAGACTAAAAGCTGTGGCTTTGTTCTTGACTAAATCTACTTGTACACAGCTTGCCATAAAATATTTACCCTGAAGCGTGCCAATTTTTGCTCATTTTTGGAAGTGTTTTATTTTATTTTATCTATTCTCTTGTTTTATGTAATTGAAACTCTTCCCATGATCTTTTTATTGAGCCACTGGCTCCATTGCAGCTCTAATTTGACCCACAGAATTCATCCTCTGTGGTACTGTAGCAAAGTGTCWCTAATGAAACATAATCAATAGAAACAAACCTTTTGGGGTCCCTTGCTTCATAAATCTAATTTCCTAAACATCAGTCTGAAAGTAACAACATTTGGAGCCACTTTTTAAATATAGCTTGACCTCATCGTTTGAACAGTTTGGTAAACTGACATTTAGTCATGCTGATAACAAACACTTGCTTTAATTATCTATTCTTTATAAATTGCTTTTGACACAGACTTTTTTTAATTTTTAGTCTAGTCTCCTCTGATCAAAGCCAATGATTCTACCTTTCTTTTTTTGACTGAGCAATTCCCACCATAGTCTCTCTTGAGGATAAATCAGTCAATTCCCTATTACTGTAGAACTCAAATACATGAATCAATTTGGTTGTTGCTGAGTAATGGATGAATTCTAATGAAAAAAAAAATACTCTTAGTGTAGCACTGCCTGCTTACCATGACACTGTTTTGCCTTTTTATTCTCATTTAAAGACAAAATCAATTTATGAAGTAAAATTGTTTTGCAATGATTCATAAAAAATATGTTTGACATCAAAACAAACAATTTACACACTTATTACAGATAACATGGTACAAAAAATTGTTGCACTTTAGGTTTTAGCTTTTTTTGTCAAAGTTGGTTTTACAATATTTTTGAGAACTCAGTCATTCAACTGAAATTACTGTAATGTTACAACAAGTCTAGTCAAGGATTTTGTCAGTTTTGAAATTCTCTTTGTTGAAAATGAATTTGCGATGTAATAAAACTGCTTTAAAAACATTTGCCACCAAATCCAACCATGCGGTGAACTGAAAAGCAACCTCCGTCTACTGTCTGACWGAGGCTTGCCAGCAGTGTAAGAAGTGATAACAGGTGGCAGCTTCCTGTCCGAGAGCCTTGGAGAAAGCTAAGCATGTCACCTGCATTAATGCTGCGTTGCACCTTTCGTCTGACCTCATGGTCAAAGTTTTAATTACAGGGAATATAAAGACTTTCTTAAACAAGATAAGCTGCTGAGGTCCGAGGTGGAAAAGTTGAAGGGACAAAGGGTGAAAAGTGGAAGAAAACATCGCTGAAAGCAAAATCCAGAGCATGAAGGGTCAAAGAATCGATTTATTCCATGTGATCCTGCTCCTACTCTTACAATAAAACAACTTTTAATCCTGAATTGAGTGGAAGAGAGTGACAAAGGAGACCGAAATGACAAAACTGGACCTGGAAGCTGCAGTCTGGTTTGAGATCTGAAACTACAGAGGAAGAGTGAAACAGGGAGTGTATAGTGGGGGAGTGGGTTTATACTGTTGAGCCCCTGCCCCATGTTGGTGCAGCCTGAAAC